TTGATTGGAAACAAGGAAAGAGGATTTAGGGGTGCTTGTGGAGTTGCAGTTATATTGTTATTTTATTGCGCTCACCTCCTCAACATCCTGAGATATTTTTGCCATCGGGTGTGAGAGAGGTGAGAGTGGATCGAGAAGAAGAGGAGGCATGGCAGGAGACATGATGGGCTGCTGGAACACAGTTGTGACAGTCGTGGAAGAGCAGAGGGAGGGAGAAACCATGGACGTCACGTCGATAGCTGTGCCTTTAGCACCACTCTGAGGCACCTGTCGGCCTGAAAGACAGAGAGGAGCCTCATTGAATGCTTTTTTTCCAGTGTACGTTATCTTTAAGACCATCGGTTCTAGCTGTTAAGTGTATTCCAAGAATAACCGCTAGAACATCCATTAGCATAGAAGTACGACATAATAATGGGACTGCTCTTACTGTTGTATTGATGAGGAACACAGAATTCACTGAGCCACTCTGACAGAGCCAGTTTAAGAGCAAGCTGTGGGCTGTAGAGCATGTCTGTCTCCAGCTCTTCATCGCTGCCCTCATTCTCTAACTTTATCTGGATGGACACTGTGCTGTCCTCGCCATCAGCTGTTTAAGGGCAAGACAAACAAACACAATTGATGACCTTTGTAACATTACCATGTGAAAAATCACCAATATGAGAAAATCATCCACACAAAGAAAGTGACATAACTTACTCATTACGACATCCTTGCGCACCCCATTCATGTTAGACTTGTACCAGGTGGCCAGAGTGTGGATTGCCACGAAGTTGGACTCAAACTCGCAGTTGGGGTTTGTTAGTACCCCCTTCAGCCTGGGGATGAGCTCTGTGGAGCGGCCTTTGTATGGACCCAGGAAAAGCCTCTTCTGGTCATAGTCATTAGCATGAATGTTGTCCCAAATCACAGGGGCTCGCCTCAGGATTCTTGAAACCTCCTCAATAGACTCCACGGAGATGTCTTTGGACACCACCTTGGGTCCTGCAGAAAGAAAACATATCCAAATGTATCGATGCATCTTCTACTCTGACATGTTTGACTGTATACTCGACTGGAGGATCAGTTCGTTCACAGGAAACTCTGTTAGACTTACCTGTCCACAGCACATCAATGCTAGGCAACAGCTTCTCTCCAACTGTGTGGAGGTAGGGGGACTGAGGAACATTTGGGTAGCAGAATGTTCCACAGTACTCTGTATTTTAAGGAGAGGACGCAAAGCAAACGTTAATATGAAAGTACATGGAAGATATGTGTAAAATGTTTGAAAACGACTCAGAAGTGATGTACCTGTGGGACAGAAGAGGAAGGTTTCAGGCTCTCCTAGGTATTGGTAGATTTCGTTGGTAATAGAAACCTGCGCGTGTGCAAACGAGCTGAACACCTCTTTGTCTGCTGGGCACATGTTGTGGTCAATGTCGTCGAAAAGTAAGGCAAAGGACTTGCAGCCAAAGTGAGTAACCTGAGGGGGCGAGTGAGGAGTTGGTTATAAAATAAGAAAACAATAGGTACAGAAGTAAAAGATATATACACTGATGTGATACAAAAGGTTGCAATACCTGATCAAGCTTCCTTTTGAGAGCAGAAACCTCTTTCTGATTGGAGAACGTGATATCCAGTCCAGGGGAAATGGCGTAGATGAACTCTATCCCATGCTCCTTAGCAGCACTAATCAATGTCATCAGTTGCTCTATGAAAAAATGGAGGAAAATACATAATTTACTGAGTACTTGATTGTGCTTTTATGAAAAATAATTCAACTCTTTCCCATGTTTCAACCTGTTTTTTTGTTTTTTTTTGCAAAGCGTCCTTAAGCGCAGATAAAAGTGGATTCATTTATTTATTTTTGACTCAGAAAAATGTAAACAATGTGAAGTGAAAAGTCACCTGCTTCCTCCACAGAGTACAGCTCTCTCCAGAACATCCTGTGTTTGTAGTCATCTTTGGGTGCATACAGGTATGTATTCAATCCCCACTTCTGCTGCCTGGGAAATGTAACGTTGAACAAACTCAGTGTAACAACAAATCTACTTTTTTTTAATAGTGTTATTAGGTGCTTGCATAAATAATTCACATAGTTCACCCTACCTTCTGAACAACTCCTTCCTCTGTTCCATTGTCCACGGTCGCCCATAAAAACCTGCATCAGCGGAAAAAAAAAACATTGCTTCAGTTTCCATGAAGTCTGCAGCGCTAATGATCAACAGCTGTCCCTTTGACCATTCAGCTGCTTGACCACAAACACTTGGTCTGGGCTTGGCTGGAAATACCATTAGAGATGTTTCTGCTAATTTCTACCATTAGTTTGTCCAGTCAATCATTCTGAATCCTCCTTTTTTTTTAATCTATCAAGTAAAATGAAATCCAAAATGATGTGCAAGAGGCCAATGTCATGTTTCTCAATTCCCATTTAGTCTGATCAAAATGTATAATATGACACTGGCCAAAGCAAATAATTCATCACCTTCTTTTAGGTGTGTTGTGCTTTAGTCAGTCAGTGTTTTCTGTCAGAGCCTCACGGGGATGAAACAACATCCCAACACTTATCAGAGAGCTCAACACGTACCGGTTATTAAGTTCTTATTTGAAACAGTGGCTCATTAGCAATACAATCTGTAGGCACTAAACCTGATTCCCTCTGGTACTGCCACCTGGTGTCTGGCAGTCTGGGAATTTGTCCTGTGTTTTACAAACCACTGTTGCTTGCTTCACTCGTCCACTGTGGTGTGCCTCACTCAATGTGTTTTACATGTTGCCTCATGTGAATTGTACGTGTTGCTTATTTTGTGATTGATATTCGCTGCCTGCATGATGATAATATTTATACAACGCTGTAAAATGTTGTCCTAATGTGTGCACGTAAAGTACACTTTGGTAGGCCACTTCCTGCATGCTTTTACACAAACCGGTTTAACATCATATAATTAAATGCTTGATGCTGCTTCTTGTTTGTCCTGCATGCTTCATATATTTAATGCCTGTGGCTACACATCTGCTCCCTCCATTACTGTTTGTAGCAATGTTTAATCACAAGACTTTGCTTGCACACTAATTTATGTGTTTTTTTTCCCCCTTTATTTTGTTCTTTTAAAAGGGAGCCTAATCAAAAATCTGGTTGATGGATATGCCACAAGTAGCATGTTGTCTACATGAGGCATATTTACAGAAATGTTAATTAACATGCAAATAAGGATTATTATAAAAAATGAACCATATGTCATTAATAACAGTGCAATATGTGACTACCTAGTTTAAAAATGCATGCAAAAGTTGCAATCAAATGACGTCTGACTGCATTTACATACAATCTCAATGCATTATAAATGTGATATTTCATATTGATGCACATTGCTGCAGCATTTTTCTGCGCTCTAATTATGCCCACATGACTTTGCATATAATGTATTTTTTCTTTTGTCTCATGGTTCAGTTTTACCTTCCACAACCCCGCTGATGAATTTTCTGTGGCCGGTCGCTTGGACCGCAATGCCGGACTCTTCTGCCGGGCCGGGGCCTCCACACAAGCCTCTCCGGAGACTGGGCTGGGGCTCGGCACACCGTCCACTGGTGGTTTCTCCAGCGTCTTCTCCTTCTGAACCATTGTAAGAGACAATCTCCTTTTTCCTTTTAAGTCTGCAGATTCAGACTCAGACAGAAGGGATCGAGATGTTTTTGTCTGCAGACTAAACGGAGCACAAAAAAAAAAAAAAAAAAAAAAAAAAGATGTTCCGCCTCCGACTAACGATTACCTACGATATTAACGAGTCTATCAAACCTGTCGAGAATGAAGCACCTGCTCTTAACAAGACGTCACCGAGATGTCTACCAGGTGCTGTCGGACAACATTAACGCTAAGTTATATTTCAGGAAAAACACAAATACTCGTTCCGTTTTGTCCGATCATTTTTCGCCCTGGTTTTAGTTGGTTCTTCCTGTTTATACCGAGTGCGCATGCTCATAGGACCAGCTAAAACCAGTTAAAACTAGATCTGCGTGACAAAACACCGCAAAGATGTCAAAATGGCAAAGAGAGAAATTAACTTTTTTTTTTTTTTTACTGCGCAACTCTCGACATCGTCTGATCACATTAACACAAAATCAAGGTCAAGTCAGCTGTTTTTGTGACCATGCGACAGCCATAATGGAGAGTTTTTATTTTTTTTACAAATACAAGACAGCATCGCTACTATAAATAATATCTTTTGTACGAAATTGTATTATAAACAGTTCTCGATCAAATATCTTTATGGTTAATAGGAACAATTGGTAGCTTGATAAATAAAAAAGAATCGGGTTTATGATTGTAAGCAATATTTATGTCCTTGCAGCTTAATGACAGTAAAGGCTCAATAAAATGTAGTTTAAATGAGTGGTGTTAGTCATCTCAACAGCTTTTTGATATCTTGAGATTCCGGTCCATATTTGGAATGCAGCTGAGCTCCAACACTACATCCAGAGGGGAGGCGTTTCCTCTGCTGTTTGACATGAGCCCGTTTCCAGTGTCAGCAAAACACCCTTTGTTTTAAGTAAATACGATACAGAACATTATATTTTTATATAACCCAAAAACTTGTAATCCCACTGACATGAGGCTCAATATATAGCAGTGACCCCCTCCTCCTGTATTTATATACTTTTCACATAACTGACATATTTAACTTGTTGCACAAGGTAAACAGGTGTAATAGTAATGCACAGTGCATACCACTAAGGTTTTTTTTTTCCAATATTTTCTATGCTGTCTGGCAGAAACATGTGATGAACTGATCATTTGTAAAGGAAATATGTCACCTTTGCTTTTTCCTACTGCAAAATCTTAGAAAAACAGAACCATGACACTAAAAAGGCACAACTATACTACTATTCTTTAAAAACTTATGCTTTTCCCTTTCAAATTCCTTCCTTGAAAACAGTCTATAACCTCTGTCAAATAAAAGCTGGTACAAGGTAAGTCGCTGAAAAAATTATTAAAATCCCAGAAGAATCAGACAAAACAAACACAATGAAGTATTTTTCATTTTATTTAGGTTCGCAGTACATTTGCATAATGTATTACAACCTCTCCCAATAATAAAGGAGTTCCAGTTGACATGCTTTCCCCCTTTTTTAAAAATTATTTTCCATACAATTCAAATTGAATTTTACATTTAAATAAACTTTTTAAAAAATTAATAATCTCCATTATTCCATTTTTTTTCTTTTACTACTTTCATTACAAATCTTCACTTCAATAGAAGGTGGTAGCTTGCAGAAACAATATAAAACAAACAAAAACAAATGCAAAATGTATGCAACAACTAAAAAGTAATGACAGTGTTGCAGGTGAGGAGCCAACCGCTGGCTCTGAGGTAAGTGTCAGCTGATTCCTGCTGCAGGCCTCCTGTTACCTCTTCAGATTCTGCTGGGCTTGCTTCAGTAAAGTGTCGAAGTCGAGTGTTTGACACTTGACTTTCCCCTGATATGGATCGTACTCTCTATTTGAATCTGTAAAGATAAGGTCAGATATGGTCAGCGAGGCATTTACAAAAAAGGGACAAAGACTGCAGAATTTACTGCAGGGTAACATCATTTTGGTTAAAGGAGAAAAAAAAATGGTGGCAACTGATGGAATTTGTTTTTGCCAGAATATTTGAATAATCCAGCACAAAACAATAAACCAGAATGTAAAAAAAACTTTACAAATATTTTTTGGGTAAAATTTGATTCCCTATATGATGACCAAGCTTAAAGAAATATAATTCTAGAATAGAGAACATAACTTGTTTTGACTAGTTGTCTTTCAAACTTCCTCTTTTGTCAGAAAGAGTGAAGAACATCAAAAACAAGGATCATGTGGAATTTGTTTACAATATATCGTGTCAAATAGGTCAGGTCAAAAAGACCTCTGTATTCACAAAATCAATAGAGGACATGAACTGTCTTCATTGATAGCTTCAGCCTGCTAACAAGGCATGAGATGGGCTAATTCAATCTGTATACATGTTTTGAGGTGTGGATTTATGCTCACCTAGGTCAGCGTAGCTGGTCTGGCAGAACTGTCTCCTTCCACCAAAACAGAGGTCAAACGGCAGCTCATCGGGTTTGCGCAGCTTGCTTCCATTCTCGATGGCCGTGAAAGCATCCTTGGTGTCATAATAGGTCACAAAGCCGTAGTTGTCCCTGCGACAGATAAGAAAAAAAACATTAGCCTGAGTTTATCTTTAATTTGGCTTGAGAGGTCTTGTGTTTAAGGTCTTGTTAAATCTTGTTCTTGGATTGGAGCTGTGACTTGCATTTAAAAGAGCAAACTGGGAGGGATGCCAGGAGGCTCCAGTTATGAACAAGCCGATTTGTTTTAGCACTGTAGCTTGGCCTAAGAGGTCACGGAAAAAGACCAAAAAGGTTCAAAGACAGTGCATTTAGTTCATATCAAAAATAGACTAAGCATGTCAATGTAAAAGAGCAAGCAATAAAAAGAAATAAGCATGTGCAACACTAGCTCCATGTATTCTCACCCATGATCTCTAAAGTGCAGGGTGCATTCTTCAATCTCCCCAAACAGAGAGAAGCGCTCCTGAAGTTCTTTCTGAGTCATCGTTCCCCGAATTCGACCAACGTAAACAACCCGACGCTCCTCCTGAGAGAAAAAAAGTCGTCCATCACGTAAGTCACATTTAAATACGTTTACTATATCTGCTTGAAGACCTGTGCACTCTTTAAGAACGTCCACTTACAATGGCTTTCTCCTTGCATCTCTTCACCTCTTCCACATTCATGTTTGTACCAAATTGGGGCCTCTGCATGGGACTGAGGAAAACAAGATGAATCTGTGAGTTATTTCTTAAAGTATAACTTGTACAAGTTTAAGAGCTTTTTAAATGCAGTTATTGGTGAGCATGATTCTCTGTACCTGTGCAATCTTCTGCTCCTATTCCACTGTGCTTGCCTCTGAGGAGATCGAGAACGTGACCTGGAGCGACTCCAAGAGCCAGAACGAGAGGAAGAGTAAGAGTACCTCCGCCTTCTGGGCGGGGAGCGGGACACAGAGGGAGAGGACCCAGAGGAGGAACGGGAAGAGGAGCTGGAGCTTCTGTCCCTATGGCGAGAGCGATACCTTAAGAAGAATTACGGATTTTAAGTAAGAAAGAAGGGAATTCATAACAGAAATGTGTGGCAGTCAAATATTTTGACTGTGGGCCGAACCTTTTCTTAGAGGGAGATCGGGATGTAGACCGAGATCTGGAGGACTGGGAGTCTGACTCTGAACCACTTGACATGGGGCTTGGAGAGCGGCGGGATCTTTTTCTGACCAGCCTCCGGTCCTCTCGATGCGACTCGCTCTGGGGCTGGGCGAGCGAGAAGCAGTGTGTCGGCGGTAAGACCTTCCGTAAGGTCCTCTCCTGGGGCTTCCCTCTTTGAAAGTGCCATCAGTCTCCGGATGAGAAGGCGAAGCGTCAGGAGTCTCCAGAACAGAGCTTCTCTCCATCTCATCAGTCCTGTGATCTAGGGCTCTGTGCGAGTTAAATCTTGGGGTTTGCTTGCGGCCACAGCGTTCGTGTTAGCCCGCGCAGACGACACTGGGACAGCTGGTGGTGTTTGTGTAGTGATTGGTTTAATGGTGATGAAAGACTGCTGTTTGACGTTCCAGCGCTTGCCTGCCTCACCGTTTGAAGCACCTTTGTTGGGAAGGCAGTAGTCATGGTCCATGCAGGCCACTTCTGGGGAGACGGCAGCAGCAGCTGGAGTGGGTTTGCTGCGGGACCTGACTGAGGGCAGAGGCCGGGCTTCTATCTGGATGACCTTGGAAGGGCTAGACTTTGAGGCCTCTGCCGCCTTGCTCTTCCCCAGCAGGGCCACAGGGACCAGGGGCTTCCACATCTGGTGGGGAGGAGTGGCTGGAGGAGTCAGAGCTGAAGCAGACGGAGATTCATAAATATCTTTGATCAACATATGCTGTAAGACAATTATTATAGCAATAAAATTAGCAACAAAGAAAAAATAAAGAAAAAGGATAGGTTACATTATTATAGCTAGAAAGTCACTTCAGTCTGTATTTGGGGTCTAGTTTATTTTTGCATGTCGCTTCCTTGGTAATGTTCTGGTTCCAGATGTTTATTTAACTCAAAGATCAGTTTAAGCTTTTTCAAACTCTTTCCAGAATGAACACTGGACACTATATATATAAAAAAAACATGTATATTTTTTTCTCTCTTTTGCACATCCTCTCCAACAACTGGACTCTATACAGGAGGTAATATGTTAATATATTAATGGGTTGATCTTCAGGCCTAAAGTCTTAAGTTACCTGCTGTGCTTGAGAGGTCGTTAGCCCTCACACGCTCCACAACTGTTTTCTCTGGAGCCACCTCAACGCTGAAAAGTAGCACAAGAGTCTGTGAGTACATCACGGGGAAATACTTTTACCTTAGTCTTGAGAAAAGGCCACAGCCAGTGGAGACCAAAAAACCAACATTAGACCAGGATGCCCAAACTTATACCAGGAGCCATTAACTTGGCCAGACAAAAGCAGGGTTCTCGGTAGGTCTTGGCAAAAGGTGATTGTGCATCACCTTCAAACACACCAACACACACACACACACACACACACACAAACAAACAAACAGCACACATGTTCAGCTCTCTCAGGGGTTTGCCATCACTCGCACTGAGCAGCTTGTCGGCTGTAGGGTAACTCACCTAGAGTTTCCTACAGCTGCTGCTCTACCAGAGACCTCCGGCACACATTTCTCCTCTTTGGCTGAAGAGAAAAGGAACAAGGCAGTGAGTGCAACGGCACAGGGAAGAACAAAACCAATGAAGATAGTGTACATTAATATTTGGCCTGGAATGATGTAATGGCTGCAGCATGCCAGGTTTTAAAGAACTCATTTTGTGTGTTTTCCTATAGAAAATCTCTAAATGGTCAGCAGCTAAGTTAGCTTTAGTGCTCGATATGAATGTTCAATAAAAGGGCAACTGACATAACCAATGCTCATACAGAGTCCAGCCACTTGTTACAGAAGGGCCTTATACAGCCGCTCAAACAAAGACAGCAGAGTGAGGGTTAAATGGATTTGCGGACGGGGCAGAATTCCAGCAGCTGAGCAGACGAGAGCACAAAGCAGCTTCTCTGCCCCCCCGCTGCTCACATCTCTTAAAGGGGAACATTTCAGCAGATAAAAAGCCATTTAACAGTCAGAAGTCCCCCATCCTCTTTGAATGTTAAATATGCTCCAATAAGCAGTAAATATATATACCTAAGCCCTGATAATGTATTTGTTCTGTGGGTCACTGTTGGCCAGAATTATAACTTCACACTTGTCAAGATTTCTATTCCCCTGAACACTTCCATTAAGGTCGTTCTGCTCATTAACCTGCTGCTGATAACATATTTTACTGTTGTATGCTCACCATCGCAAAACCAGAAAACTGACACTGACTGCATTCAGCTCGAAGTGACCCACTAGGCTGTGCAAGCATCTTTGTGCCAGCACGACAGTATGTCATGAAGTTCTTCTTGAGTGTGAAAAATATGTCACAAATCAAAAGTCTCTTATTACCTTGGGTTTCCTCAAACTGCTCCAGCAAGCTCGTCAGATCAGCAGCTTCGATTCCTACAAAAATGCATCATTCTTTTCTTAATTGTCATAATACAAAACACAATGAAATGGTGCTGTTTAAGCATCATTTAATCAGTGCATGATGGCCGATTACACACTCCCAATACACGAGAGCTTGTTTACAATTACACTGGACTACAGCGAGAATTATAGGAATAAACAAGACTGAATAATCAGGATTAAAGCTGAATTGAAAGAGCTGAAGGACAGGTGTAGGAAGATTACAAAATAAATGTACAGAGGGGCAATACTGTTTGAATTATCCTGTCAAACTACATTTCATTTGAGTAACTGCATTAACACCAGAGACATCTTTCCCTAAAAACAATGGAGTTTTTTTTATTTTATGGCGACAACAAACAGAGCGGATCAAATAAAAGTAGAAGTTGTAAACATAGGACGCTGATGAGGGGGCAATTTTGAAGCGAGGTTTTTGTATATAAATATTAGTTGCTAATCTGTCAATTCATTTAGTGTGCATGTGGGTCCATTACATGACATCTATCACACAGCAAAGAAATGAAAACATCTTACAACTCACCTATCTCACTGGTGAAGGCCTCTATCAGCTCCTGTGTGGAGCTCTTAGCGCTTTGAGGTTTCAGTGCTGTAGTGGGTTTCTCTTTATTTTCAAGCACAACAGGTTTGGAGATCTTTAGACTTCTGGGTTCTGAGGGATGATTAGCAGGAGAGGAACAGAGCTTCGTACCGTCCGCTGTGGGTTTGGTGGCCATGCTGACAGATGAGGGGCTGCTCTTTATTGAGGGAGGAGCAGTGACCACGGGCACCTTTGGGAAAACAACCGTGATCTTCCTGGGCGCAGGCACAGTGGCAGCGATGGGTTTCATCACCTCTGTAGTGGTTTTGGGAGAGGTTTTAGTGACTTCTGCAGGTTGAGATGTGGGCCTTTCAGCTACTCCACAATGTCCCTTTGAAAGTGCAGGTAAACATTTTGCATCAGGTGGGGAAGCTGGAGACTCAGAGGTCCGGGGCGCACAAAGTGCTGCAGGGTGAGCAGTGGATTGGGGCTGTGCAGATACATTCTTCACTGAAATAGCAGCAGGAGGCGAGGGGTTTTGAGGTGGAGAAGGTTTGGGTTCATCAGCTGTTTGCCGGGGTTTAGAAACAGATGGAGCTGCTGAAGCCTTGTTGGATGAGGCCACCATGTAGGCAGGCGGCACCAACAGAGCCTCAGGAGTAGGCGGAGCACACGGTCCCCTTGGCTGCCAGGCAGGTCTGACCTCCTCCACTTCTTTCTTTGCTGCTTGTACGTTTGGGCGTCGAGGATCTTTGGGGCTGGGGTCGGGCAGGCAGGGGATAAGGGGAAGCTCTTTGGGAAGCTCGGGGAGGCTCGGCCACTTGGTGCTGTTGTCGTCCTGTTTCTCCACTGGGGCCGGCTTCTTCTGCTGCCGCAGCCGCCTGTACTCAGCCAGACTGAGGGATTTGGGCTTCGGCTCTGGGACCGCAGGGGCCACAGGAGCGGGGGCCTCGCTTACAGGCGGTGTCATGGGGTGTGCTGCGACACCAGGAGCAGCTGTGGAGCTCTCTGCAGGCACTGGGGGGACGACGGCAGAGGGAGCTACTGACGAGTCTTCAGGCTTCTCAGGGGTCTTTGCCGGCTGCTCGGGCATTTCTTCCGGTTGTTTGGAGCTCAGCACTGCGGGTGAACTCTTGGGTTGATTCTTCTCAGGTTCCCTTTTTTGGGACACTTCAGATGTGGCGACTCGTATTTTCAGTACAGGCAAAGGTTTTGTAGTGGCAACTTCAGTTTGGCATGCATTTAGTTTCTTAGGTTCTTTAGAGGAAGAAGTTTGAGTTGGGGCAGGAGGAACCTTTGGGATTCTTTGCTTCTTTACTTCTTTCACCATCTTTTTTTCAAGTTTTTTGGGCAGCTCCTGTGTTGTGTTTCTTAATCTACCACTCCTAAGGACTCTTCCTTCCACAGGTTTAGATTGAGGCTGCTCCTTGCTTTTCTTCTTTTTCCTCTTGGAGGGGCTTTTCTCTTTAATCTCTTCTTTCTGTCTTCTAACAATCATTTCATCTTTAATGCCTGGTGTCACAGGGGTTGCATCTTTTACTGGATACTCTGTGACAGTTACATCTTCGTCATCAACTACTATGTGCTCTGAAGTGTCAGAGGCAACTTCCTCTGCTTCCTCTGAATCCTTCTGCTCTTTTAGTGCAAGAGAGGCTGGGAGATCCATGTCTGGGATGGCCAGGATAGGTTCTCCATTTTCACCCTGGTCAACAACTTCAAGTAAGATGCCTCCTTCAGGCAACATCTGTTCCCCTACGTCATTCTCCACACAAAAGGTCATACAGTACGGGTGCATGTGCCTGACCAAGTCCCCCAGGCACACGGGAATGCCGCCATCATCCTCCTGCTCCAAGGTGATGGGGAGGGGCAGGGTGAGACTTTTCCAATCCAGCAGGTCTCCGTCAGGAGATGAGTCGTGGCTCACTGGGCTCAGAGTGAAAGAGCCATCTTCCTCCTCCTCCCCGTCACTTCTCTGGAGAGAGTCTGCAAGTATCCTGGGAATACTCTGGATACAGACAGACGAATGAATAATTTAATTCAAAAAGCTGTTTAATGTAAACCTTTAAATACATTCCATTTCAAAGTGCAAAAACCTACCTTTCCAGTAGATAGGGATCTTGTGTTACAGAATGCGTCTTTCTCTGGAGGAGAGCGGGACAGGCACATCAGTCTCCTGAGCTGAAGAGTAGAAAATGAACAAAAGTTAACTCTTTGTAGACTTTAAGCTAATGGAAAATTGGCTTCAAATGTATGACAAAGTAATAGTCTCACCAAGCAGCCACAAAAAAATCTGATTTAAAATGAACCTCAAGAAAAAAATAAGAAGACCTAAAGGAGATAAATTAATTTGACTAAGTGGAAGCGTTCATCTTAACTGGTCACACTGGTTTACAAACTGCTCTACAATCCATATAAACATAGAAGTCAGCAAATGCATAACTTCAGCTGAGAAAACAATCACTTACCCCTAAAGCCATTACTGCAAAAAAAAAAAAAAACTCTCCTGAAGTGTTAGCTAGTGCTTTACTATTAATTCTTAAAATTATTATATTGGATCTCTGAATTAACTTTTGGAATAAATATCTAAACGAGACCATCAGCTTTACAATCCCCAAATATAAAATCAAACAGCAAGTTTAAAGGAGAAGTCAAACTCCTCGCATGTGTTGATGTACTTGTTCATAAACCCAATAATGAAACTTAAAAGTCCATTGTCCCCCCCCAAAAAAGTGTGTTTGAGATCCACAGAGAACAGCAGGCTGTCCTTCTACCCCCTTTCACTCTCTCTCCCCCGGCTCAAAAACCAGATGGTGGATGTCGAGAACAGGAACCAGCGAGGAGCACTTTAAGAGTTATGCGTGACAGGTGGGCACTAACCGGAGAGTGTTCCCTGCCCTTCTGACCTGACAACAGGTCTGCGTCGGGCAGTGTGTCAAACGGGGACAGGTTCTCGTCGTCCACATTGTCGAGGATCTCAGTCAGGGCGGTTAGCAGCGTGGCTTCACTTTCCTCGTCTAGTCCTTTAGTCTAAAATAAACACACAGAATTTAGACACATCTTAAAATGTCTGTAAGATTACTGATCATCATCACGTCCATCATTTTAAATCAGTCTTGCCTCTATCGTGGGCGCGTCCTCAAACATTGAAAGTATAGAGGGGTCCAACAGCTCTGTAGGGCCTCCAGAGTTTCTCCAGGGCTCAGGCCATCAGTCTAGAGACAAAAACAAACTTCAGATTTATTTGGCTAAATACAGTCAAAACTAAATTCATGACTCAGTTGAAAGCTCGATGCACAAGTACATAATTATAAGATTAGAGATAAGACAGGGTTTATTAATTCCCACTTATGGAGAATGCAGCGGTTACATCAGCTCAAAGTAAAGGACAGGGTAAACAAGTGATTAAAGAGGGAAAGCAAGACTAGTAAGAAGTGTACACAGTGATCCACTTGTGGCCAGATAAACCGTTTTTTGCACTGACAATTAGCGAAAGTCATCATCTCTAATATTAATCACCAACAAGCAAAATGGACGAGGACAAACAGTTCTAACTGGAAATGCATAAAACTATGTCTGTCAGCTTTCTGATTTTTATTATTTTTTAAAGCTGACATAATTTCAATGATACGTTGGATTAAAATTAATTAGGCTATAGTGTTTACACCAAAGTGTCAATGCAGCATTTTTTTATTTTAGTCAAACCTATTGAAAGGTGTCTTTTTCTTATAAGGACTCTATTCCCTTTTTTTCTGAATTATTAAAACAATTGATCAACTTTTCTTTTTAAATTTGATCAATTGAAAAGTTAAAGGTAGTTCGGACTTCTCAAATGAGCCGATTGAGTCTGAAACATCCTGGCTTTATTTTCAATCAGATACAAAAGTATATACACGTGTAGGTTGGGGTGACTGTGGCTCAGTGGTAAAGTCGGCTGTCTCTCAACGGGAAGGCCTGGGTTTGAGTCCCAGCTCCGATCTGGCCTTGGGCAAGAGAGTTAACCCCAAGTTGATCCTGCTGGTACGTTAGCAGCGTGTGAATGTTTATGAATGGATTAGTTAATACTGATGGCCACTTAACAAAGCAGCCTCTGCCATCAGGGGGTTAATGGGTAGGAGGGACCTGCAGTGTCAAATCCCTTGTTATACAGTGGCAGATGGAGCCGCTTTTGTTTCGTCTCCCTTCTTTAAAAAGGTTTGCCCAGCTGCTTTAGACATTATGTTCTTCTTTGTCAAACACAAAATGTTATTTTGTTGAAGCTAGAAATGGTTCATTCTAGTTTATGTGTTTTGTTTTCGGGTTGGGTGCAGTCCTGAGGTAAGTCAGGCGTTTGAAAAAGAGAGTCAGAAAAGGAAACCCCAGAGGGCAACAGGGGGCGCATGTTTTGAGTTCCAGCTCCAAGAAGAAAAGAAAAGTACTCGAGGCATTTTCCTACAATGAGTAATATACAAGAACATGAACAGAGGGTTTCTGTTGGTTAAGCAGGTCTTGTTTGCAAGTCAGTTGTTAACACAAGTTAATTACTATAACAACAATTACAAGAAATGTGGGTTTTACTAAACACACTGCCAAATGACAGCAAAACTTAATTGACAACATTTTTAATAATTAACAAATAGAAATAAACAATGAGTATATTCACGTTTAATTTTTTAATATTTGACACTAACTTGAAACATTCAAAGTATTAAATACCATGTGATGTTCCCTACAGGTTTGAATCTTCAGCAAGTACAGCACATAAAGCTCCCTACAACAGAGGTGGGCAACTGGCGGCCCCCCCATCAACCCTCAACGTGGCCCTCGGGTCAATTTTTACACATCAATTAATTGGAAACATGAAGAAAAACATGACAAAATCTGCCATGAAATCATGAAAACCAGAAATATGTCCATAGTAATATTTGACCACTGGTATATGTTGTTAAATTTGAGACAGTATTGACTGTAATCGTTTTTTTGTATACTACAATTTGGCCCCATGGCAGTGAGAATTAAATGAATGTGGCCCTTGCTGTGACCAAAGTTGCCCCATCCCTGCCCTACAAGCCCATCACTGATAAACTTCTGCACATTCACCTGAAAACTTAGTAGTTTCGCCCAGAGAACCACGTGTTTCTGTCTACACATGCACACACACACACACAGTGCGCAGACATGTTTGATCCTTGCCTCACCCCGTCCAAAGGGAGGCAGTAGTAGGTATGTAGCTCTCCCTTTTGGACGCCCACGTGTTGAACTACAACAAACCCGGGCGGGGCCCTTCATCTGTGCCTCTGTCCTTTACTTTAAAAAACTAACACACCAGTTCACAAACACAAAATGCAATCACACCCCCCCCAAAAGTGCTGAAAAACACAAATCGGGTCAAACACTGACTGTATCGAAGGGGTGTAATCAGACTTGATTGATTACAACTTGTGCGCATGTGCGAAGCCCTACATGTGATTCAACACGACCGAACCACCATGTGGATACACACACACACACACACAGTCGACTTGAATGAAAACTTGCACTTTCAAACTAAATGATCACACAGGTGTCTTGAATGGCAGCAGGTGATAAATGTAAATAAGTTTCATAGATCATGTGCAGCATCACTGATGACAGTTTACTGCATTGAGCTGACAATGAGCCTGTGAAGCAACCACAGCTCGACTAAATCAACTCACTGCACCTTGACTACTGGACGTGGGAAACAGTTTCCAGTTAAATAGCAATCTGTGGGAAAAGGTAGCTTTCTAGCACCATGCAGTGTTGTTTTTTTCAACACGTGTGGATGAATACCCAGAGCACCTTTTCTACACAACCCCCCCCCCCCTCCTCCTCCCCTGATAGGACCTTACCAAGCTTTTTAAAGAATATTTAATGAAACTGGACACATCCAGGACTAATTAACATTAATATTCACAAACTGTCACTTCATTTATTTAACCACTCTTTGCAAAAAAAAGGAGGTTAACATGAGAGACCGGCCAAGCCACACTGACAAACGAGCTAGCATTAACTTAACCTAAAACATACAAGCAAATGCATAAACATATTAATTCTGTGCTAATGAAGAAACACAAGCCCACATGGGGGTTTCTGTCTGTATTTAGCACAGCACATTTACTACTTTATGAATAAGTTTTACTAGTAATACTACGGCTGCATCCACGTGTCACTTTTCCATGCGCAGTGCAAACAACATGCTGTCTGTCCAGCCTCCGTAAACACAAACTCAGGGAGTAACAGTGGACTTACATGATAGGAAATACAACAAAGGACATATTCTGTACCTCGTCTAGTGTATCCATGGGGAAAAAATCCATATTGCACGCTGTTAAAGTCTCCTCGCCTGCTCCCCACCGCGCCGCCATCTTGCCAGTATACTCCCTGCTTCAGGCTCGTTTCGGAATGAAAAGTGATGAATCGCGCAGCAGAGGAACAAGCACGCCGGGCAGGAGACACGTGGTCCAGCATTCCCGGCAAAATGACGCAAAAAAAAAAAAAAAAATGACGCCGGGGTCAGGGGTGACGTGGCCACGTGTTTGTTGTACTTCTTGAACGCACGTTTTGATTACCTGCTTGGATCATCTCACAGTCGTTTAAGAAAATAAATAAAAATACAAAAAAAAAAAAAATGAACTCTCATTCAGGTAAGATGGGCAATGTATGGTAGGAGTTATTTACAGGTAGTAGCTTAACAGAATATAAATAGATATTGCAGAAATATAAAATAAGTATTGCACAGTATGAAATGTAAAATATTGCAGAAATATAAAATAAATATTGCACAGTATGAAATGTAAAATATTGCAGAAATATAAAATAAATATTGCACAGTATGGAATGTAAAATATTGCAGAAATATAAAATAAAATAAATATTGCACAGTATGAAATGTAAAATATTGCAGAAATATAAAATAAAATAAATATTGCACAGTATGGAATGTAAAATATTGCAGAAATATAAAATAAATATTGCACAGTATAAAATGTAAAATATTGCAGAAATATACAATAAATATTGCAGTATGAGATGTAAAATATTGCAGAAATATAAAATATGTATTGCACAGTATGAAATGTAAAATATTGCAGAAATATACAATAAATATTGCACAGTATAAAATGTAAAATATTGCAGAAATATAAAATAAATATTGCACAGTATGAAATGTAAAAATATTCATTCCAGCACATTCAGGTATAGCAGGAAATGAAAAGGTGGACAGGTTGGCAAAGGAAGCCGTAAAGAAAGAGAGGATTGATATTAACATCAAATTATCTAAGTCAGAGGGGAAAAGAGTCACATGGAGTAAAAATAAACAGGAATGGCAACAATATTGGAACAATCAGACAATCAGACATTTATACTCAATTCAGAGGGAAATAGATAGAATAGAAATAGATTAATCCGGTCTTTGTGAGATATGCAATCTAGCAGAAACAGTTGAACATACTTATTAAATGTAGAAAGTATGTAGCACATAGACATAACATGATGTCAGAAATGGAGAGAGGGGGACTCGTAAGAAGAGATTTCAAAAGTATTCTGGAGTGTGAGGAGAGAGGGAGAGGCCGAAGATGCTTGTTTAAATATCTATAACAGGTTTGTTGAGGAGGATTTAGGAATGTGAGTAATAATTAAATCCAGCAGATGGCAGTAATGCAACTTTTTGGATGCCAGCTGCCAATGAAATCCAAAGTAGATTACCAAGTAGATTACCTATTTGGTGTGTGCTAAGAGACAGACGAGCAGAAGCAGACGCCCTAAACATAACTTTGCAGTTCTTTTAAAGTTTTTTTTTGTAAACTCAGACAGTGTTTTGTTGCATTTGTTAGTTAGACGGTGTACCTGTAAGTTTTTATAAACACATTGCTACCCTAGGCACCTATCTGATAAAATGATGTGCAAAGGATTTTTTTAAATTTTGAAACCACTGGATGTAAACAGTGAATACTTGCAGGTAAATAAACTAATTAAACATGACTATAAAAACCTCAGGAGGAAAAAAAAAAGGTTATATGCGCCCTTTAGTCATTCCACATTAAAGTAATTAGCATCAATGCGGTTGGAAAACTTTAAAGTTTCTTAAGTTTAATTTTCGATCCTTCTGACTTATGATGAACATTATTTCAATGATACGTTGGATTAATTAGGTTATTGTGTTTACACCAAACTGTCAATGCAGCATTTTTTTTATTTTAGTCAAACCTATTGAAAGGTGTCTTTTTCTTATAAGGACTCTATTCCCTTTTTTTCTGAATTATTAAAACAATTGATCAACTTTTCTTTTTAAATTTGATCAATTGAAAAGTTAAAGGTAGTTCGGACTAAGTTTAAATGATGCATACATATATATATTTTTTTTTTACCGTGGCAAACTCAAACAATGAATAGATTCTAACTAATCGAGACAGTTTTCTAACTTTACGATAACAACCTGTAGTTGTCAAAAGTGGCCACGAGAGGGCGCTGTTCATTTTGGTCTCCCTTCTAACTTCTACCCGTATAAACCATAGACACTAAACCCTTTGTTTTGAAAGATACGGTTTTAAAGGTCATTTTTCTGTGTGTAAATTGTTTTCTATTTTTTCAGGAGTCAGTGGACAGCTGAAGAAAGTTCAAGGAAGTGATTCACATCCATCCTAAAAGACAGGCAGACTAAGACTTCGTCCCCCACAGTGAAGCTCCAGCTGTTATCAGTGATTACAGGCAAACTTTGGTTGCTGATGATGATCACTGAGATGCTGTAAGAGCTCAGGTAAAATATAGTAAGTGGACCTTTAATTAATATTATTTTTAGAGTGAAGCGCATTGTTGTATAGTCAATTTAATAGTGTAACCATCCTTCAGGGTAAGATACACAACACAAGTCTACACAGTCATTGTACATAAATGCACGGACTTCTGAGAAGAAAAGACAAAAATCTCTAAAGCTGTAAATGACTTTACATGTAATACAATAATAGATATATTTTGTGTCCAGATGTTGCACATTAAGTAAATATATGAGTGAATAAGCAGACAGGCATTGAACACTGAGGTTGAGATCAAATGGGGTCAAATAGAAAAAGTGTGAAAGATGTGTTGCTTTGTAGGATCAGTATTGCATGGCAAGCCATGGGCAATTCCCTGAGTCCCACAAGCAGACATGGATTAGAGATGAGCTCAGAAACACACGCACAGACACACACTCAGTTCCCCCGCTATAGGCTCCCACCTTGTCTGCATCTTTATTTTAATTATGAATGGTCTGTGGTTCAGCAAAAAAATACAACTTTTAAGATTTTCCAGCAACATTTGCAACATTTAAAAAATCTTTCTACAACGTCAAACCGCCTCCTAATGTCTTATAGAGTGAACTGATACGTCTGTTGTGACACTCTTAAAAAGCCATCGTTGTTGCCGAGCAGCCTCAAAACATCAGACACACTCAAAGTGATAGACTCACTCCTGTAGATCTTCTGGCGTTAATCCAGGGATCCCTCAGGCAACAATTAAGAGTCTTACTGATCAATTGTGTCCCTTGTTGCGTTTCGACAGAAGAACCTGAATTTCAATCAAGATGGAGAGTGCTCTAGTTATGTGCCATGGTATAAAACACTTATAAGTATCCCAATTATCTCCTAATGAGTGTGGATGGAGAGTAAAACATGTGCGTCGCTGTAGAGAAAATCAGATACCAAATAAGAACGATCAACTTCCAACCGTATCAATGTGTCAGGTTGATGAAGTGAAAGCAAGTAGATATCTGAATGAAGTTTTGCCTTTAAAAAAGAAATATAATCTCTTTCTATATAAGCACGGATCTGATAGACCAGTTCCTGACCCTTTTTGTTTAATACGCCTCAAAGGAAAAGGTCCAAAGCACCTCCTACCAACACTTTCTTAAAACATTGTCATTTCACAAATATGTTAATTTGAATAGATTTTCAAAGCACATATTATTTAACACTCATTATGTCTAAGTGGATACATGTACAAGGACTGCACAATAATTAGCAATTTCTTCAGTATTGGATTATATGGACATTGCTATAAACATAAAGCAAAAGTCTGAATTTATCATAATATGTATGAAAAATGTTCTAAATCAATGCTTTCTCTCTCAGCATGCTATCATCATACCGTGTGGTTAAACTGATGTAAGCTTGAGTATATTGGCCATGCTTTAACATCATTATCAGCTACCTTCAGATTCATTGGTGCAAATACAATGGTGAAAAAAAAGTTTTTTGGATTCAGGAGAAACATGTTGCTAACAATAATAATGTGTAAAACATGAAGAGCAGCTGATAGACATAGAAACTGTGACTTCTAGCTTATAATCATTCTTAAAAATGTTTTTACTTATCCCATTTGTTCCCTTCATGTCCTTATTTGGAACATAGTATCACACAGTGTATATTGTTCTCATTTTGTCCAGGCCTTATAATAGTTAGAAAATGTGTTCCATTCAAGCACTGTAGACCTGGGGTGCCGGATGGCCTATCAGTCATGTCGTGCACCCCATGTATAGAATACAGAGGCTTTAGTCCTCGTCACAGGGGCCCGTGGCTTACACTCCGACCTCGGCCCTTTGCTGCACGTCATCCCTGATCTCTCCTCAAAACATTTCCTGTCTCTCTTCAGCTGTCCTATCCTATAAAGGCAAACATGGCCCCAAAACAACTAAAAAGAAGAATTATATTGCATGCATTGGCCGAGGGAAGCGTAATGTAAATTTACCCATAAGAATAACTTTACAAACATCAATTGTTTTTCTACTAATTCAAGCTTTTTCTTACATTTTCTCAGTGTCTTTTATCCACTTTATCAACTTTATTTTCCCATTATCTGCATCACAGTTCCAGTTTGAACGATCAACAAAAAGTACAAGAAAGAAGAAAGTTAGAACATTTTCTCTTTTTTAAATTTAGTCCGGTAAACCTCTTGCTAATTTCGAGTCTGTTCGATTATTTGTTTTTCAAGTTTTTCTAGTTTTGGGGAAGATGTAAATCACTGTCTGACATTCTAACTCAAATCAGAGTGTTTGCAGTGTTTCAAATCAAATCACCCTTCGTTGTACTTTAGATGAAGCGCTTTTTGTTGCCTGTTTCCAAGTGTCTGAAACTCATAGACCCAGTCTGTCTGCTTCCTGTTACCTGTCAGGTTTTTAATGAATCCTCTGCCGCTCATGTTCACACACACACACACACACACACACACACTCTGCAGCTCGTCCTCTACAGAGGTTAGCTGTTCCGCTGTTCATCTGAGAGACTTACGAGCTCGTCTGTGTGTGTGTGTGTGTGAGAGACAGACAGAAAGAGAGGAACACACCACCGTGCCCCTAACACACTTCCTTACTGCTACCTACCTACCGCTGCTCTGCCGTTGCCATGGATACAGTGCCCTCTCTCTCCCTCTCTCTCTCTTTTTCTCTCAGTGGGTATGGAGGGATGGAGAGGAGAGGAGA